CTTTTCAGCAGGCGCCCCTGCCCGCCAGCCCCCGCTCCTGCTCCTGCTCCTCTGGGCACCGCAGACACAGGACAATTAAACACATGCTTCCAAGTGTCTCCAAGCTCCTATCAGGCTGGTGTTTTTTCCATCTACGTGGAAACACGTGTGAAAGCACTTCTCTTCATGCTTTTTGGCTGGGTCAGCCGGGGCGGGGGAAGGGGGAATAATTCTATGCTTAGAAAGACTTTGCTGTTTGTATTTGACTACAGTGCTCACGCTGAGCTGAGGTCTTGCTAAGAGCCATCTCCAAGCAAACAAGACTTCACCTGGAGATAGGCAAATGATTGAAAACTATGCGATTGTCACACCAGCAGCATTTCACTTTCCGATTTTGCATCCCCATATGCTTTAACAGAATTATTTTCATGGTGAGATATTTGAGTGTCTGATTTTTATTCACCTAATACTTTCAGTGTGATCAGCAACTACAAGGCAACATGAACTGTAAAAGTATTTTGGTTTTATGCCCTGAATTTCATAAGGATATTATTAAATGATAACATAAGGGTATTAATGGGATGACTGAGAACTGCAACATTTCTATGCCTTGAAATTCAATGCTGTCGTTCCCACAGCAACCATAACCATGGCCACTCTGCATTAATTTTACATCCGAGTCTCAGAACAGACAGTTCCAAGTGCTCTCAACACACATAAGCAAAAAAACCAAGCAAAAGCATTTTTTTCCCTGCAGTATCTTACCTGCTAAGTCACAACGACAAGGTATTAATAGCACTCATAGGTGAGGATGAACTCCCAACTGGCAATTAATGCCCTGAATGCAGCTTGCACAGATACTTACAGGATTCATAGTCTTAGTATTGACACAGCTTCTGTTTTCAGTTATTGCTGGAATGAGAACCCACTGTTTGTACCAAAGGTTAAAACATTCTTAGAAAGCTAGAAAAGACCAGTTAAGGGTCTTTCAAATTCTTTTGCTTCAAATAGCATACTGTTTCAACTTCAGAAGAGACTGTTTCTCCATGGTTTTGCTCATTTTATCCAGCTTGGAGGCAGTACCTGGTAGTACATTAAGAAGAGACCAGCAGAAACAGGAACACGAAAACCATCGAGCTATCTGAGCAAGTTTAAGGGTTAGCTTTTTTCTGCTCTTAGTTTGTCAGAAGGAAGGAGCACACACACAAACATCTGTGTTGTTTCTTGGACCTCCTCTCTCTCAGCATTTACTGCCGTTGTAACACAGGACACTGATGGGCCTTTGGTACGAAGAAGTGTGACTTTTAAAAAACTCTTATTAATTGCACTAGGTTGAGCTTTTATCCAAAACTTACACCCCTTCCTGCTGGATAACAGTTTCTTCTCTGAAGCGATGGAGTAATGGTCAGTGGTGAAATCAATGAAACAATTCACTGCTACCAGTGGGAAAAATTCCTGTCAAAGGTGCAATTTTCACAACCACACTTCATCAGAATGTCAGATCAGGGGTTTAATTGGCAGCACCAGTGATTTGTAATAACGTGAGCCTATCTTTACAGGAAAGCTCCAGGGCTTTTCTATGAAAACTTACAGAAATTAGATTGTATTGACAGTTGGAAAGATGGGAAATTGCAAATCCACATGTTTAAAATTAAACATTAATCTACAGTGGGACCAGCTTTGCAAAACTGTATTTAGTATTTCTTAAATATCTGCAATGTGAATTAGAAAACAAAATTTTACATTAGGATGACACTCCCCCCCCCCCAAAGGCAGAAATACCATCTACAACCGAAATTCTCGGTATTTAACTCTTCAGGTTACAAAGAAAAGACATGGTCTTGGATAGCTGATCACAGACCACGCAGCAAGAAACGCCCAACCACCTCACCCTTGAAATACAGAGAACCACCACTAGCTCATAGGCAGCCTCTGCCCACACCCAGCAAGATACCCGAGCCCTTCAGGAACCGAAACCAGCACGACCAAGCGGGTTTTAATTCCAAGTGTCCGTGTACACACTGCTGCTCCAGACCGGGGCTTAACAGAGAAATGGTTCTCTGGGTTGGCTGCAGTCCTCATTAAATTGCAATCCACAATATGCTGTATGACACAGCAGCTATGGGAAAGACTGATTAAAAGTCTCTACACATTATCCCAATAGGCCCATGTATATCTGAGCTTTTAACTGAATTGGAGAGATCTCTATTTAAATTCCAGATCTGCTACAATCTTTCCATATGACTAGAAGGACTCCTGAACCTCTGACTTCATTTCTTTAACATAAACATATGGATACTAATTTCTAATAATATTATTACTTTTTAAAAATCTAATTTATCTTGAAAAAAATGCAGTAATTAAAAGAATTCGGGATACCGTATCTCACTACATTTAATTTTCAAATTTCACTGTAGTACAAAAGAAAAAGGTGAACCTTGCCCAAAATCTGTACTAAAAGTCTTTGAACCCACAAAGATTGGATCAGATGCTGTAGCTTGAATAAAAGTAGTATGCAAAATGCTTAGACCAGCAGGACTAGCTGTTCCTCTAACCTACCTCTCTCTACTTCTTCTCAACATGGTTGAGGAGCTTAGACCTTCTAAAGAGGTAAAATAGACTGAAATGTTTCAGAAGGCCTAAGTACAGGAAAGTTTGCATGAGAAAAAGTTTATCTGAACTTGTTTGTTCCTGCCTAGTGTTTAGATTCTCTCTTTTAATGTACGTATCTCTAGAAACTTTCATTTAAAGCAGTCAACTCCCCCCAACCCAAACTCTGATGACATTTTTCTCTGCCAGATCCAGCAATCAAGAGACATCTTCAGAACTGGATGACATGGGTTTTAGTGATGCAAATCTCTAGTCACAAGCCCATCACAAACACCCCCCAACACACCATTCGGACCACATGCTCCAGGACACCAGTCATGCCATTACATAAAACCACTTCTCGGTTGCTAGACACACATCTCAAAACACCTAGGCCTTCTGCTACATCCTCACCACACTTGTCTCTTAAGGAGAGAAAAACCAGCTGTAGTTCTGCAGAGTTGTATCACCAGCAGTGCTGATAAACCTACACAGATCCCCAAGGAATACAAACAAGTAAAAGGCCTGTGTTCGGGAAGAAGTTCGTCTTTGGTTTGGAGATCTGAAGGAAGCAGTTTTCCTTTCCAGGCAACTCCTAGGGGCTTGAACAGGAAGCATGCGGTATGCTAAAGAAACAAGGGTATATGCTTGCAACTTGGTAATTTTACAAGGCATTTGGGAAGGAAGCTGTTAAAATCTGTTTCCGATTATCTTTTTTTTTTTTTTTTTAATACCTCAAATACAGATTTACTCTGAAAGAACCTTTTGAGAACACTTTAAGAAAAATACTTAAGTACAAACTTTAAATATCCAACATATGATACTGGTGCACTTTCTAGAAACAACTACATACTTAACAGGTGAAGTAGGAAGAGAGTATTTCAGAAAACATTTAATATGAAACCTTTTGGAACTTCCATTGAATACAGATTTACATCATTTATCAGAACACTTTTTCAGTTCAGACAACAAAGTGCACTGCCGGGTGAAAAAAATACATTTGGAGGAGTGCTTAAAACGTAGGAAGTGAAAGGATAGGTGACCATTCACCTGAGAAAGTACAATGACTGCCCTGAAATGTCTTATTGCTATTACAAAATGGAGTTTTCATGGAAAAAATCATACTGAGCAGCACGGGCATGGGCAGAGCACTGAAAGCCAACTGAACTCCCGCAGCACCTGGAGTTCTCAAGCCATGGCATGATACAGAATATACACAGAATAAAATGCAAGTTCAGGAATATTTACTACATTTAATGACTATGATTATCCTTTAAACTAGCATAATCAATATCAATGCTTAGGGAAAG